TTCTGTTAACAGTTTCTAATGTATAAAATGTGAAGTTATAATCTTTAAATTTTAAATAGCTAGGTGTGGTGATGCACACCTGTAATCCTAGCACTCAGGAGGCTAAGGCAGAAAAACTGCCATGAGTTCGAGGCCAGCCTGGGCTACACGGTTGAGTTCAAGGCAGCCTGAACTACACAGCAAAACCCTACTTCAAAAAAACCAAAATAGAAAAAATAAATTTTAAATGAATAAAATTAAATACTTTATATCATTGCTAATATAATAAATTCTCCCATATTCTGTCCCAAGAAAGGTAATTAATTTTACACAAATGAATATAGTAGAAAGATGAAAACAGCCTTAAGAATATTTGGCTAGGGCTGGGGATTTAGCTCAATGGTTCTGCCTGCCTCACAAGCACAAGGTCCCGAGTTCAATTCCTGGTAGAAAAAAAAAAAAAAAGAATATTTGGCTAAGTAGTCTTACTTCATATAGAAGGAACCTGAGACCCATGGGCTACACACTTCATACCTGGGAGATGTCAGGACTGCGGCTCTCCCCGACCGCTCAAGTCCAGGAGTCCTCCATGTCCACTAAAGTATGTGCAAATGTTCAAACTAGAACAGTGTCAGACCACACCATAGCAACTCCCCTAACATACTACAAACACTTTTCTTAAAAGGAAAGGAAAACGGCTCTTATTATCTAACCCATAAAAAAGTGATTGTATCACGTGCTTGCTTACCACAATGACGGCTGGACAAAATAAGAAAAATAACCAGTAATACTAGACTATTCCGATCTCCTTTACTGTAAAGGCCAATCAACTTAGTATATACCTTGTGTGTAATCCATTCAACTCATTTCATTTCAAAAAAATAAAATGTTTTTACTCTAGAAAAATGAGAAAAAAAGACCAAATGTAAGTATTTGTATCTCAGTTCTCTCTGACATACATATACAATATGCTAACAATCATTTAAAAATACTATGAATTGCTTAGTATGATCTTAAGACCGGTCGTTTCAATGGTCCCAACTAGTATTCTGAAGGTCAATGAGGTAAAAATTCAAAGAAAAATCACTAGTGTGACAATTTATTTAATAAATGTACATACAGTTTCCTGGTTCTATAAAGAACTTCATTTTTAAAGGTTTCATTACAAGACTTCTTTAAATAAAATAGGTTACAGGTGTATCTTCAATTGCACAAACACGGCTGGTATTTCCATCAGTAAAGGGCTTCATTGATCTTTATCCTCACAGGAACATAAGTACATAACAATTTAGTTTCCTTGTGTGATTCAGTACCAGAAGGGCAGACTAAGCATAAAGAAGCAATGAGAGCATGTGCATGATTAAATACAGTATTAGTCAAGGAGCCAAAGATCTGTTAGGGACTGCACTGTAGCTTATTAACTATGAGTCCTTGGGCAAGTCGCAGTCTCTTTAACTCTCAGTACCACCTACAAAATGGGCTATTATATTTTACAGTAACTAAGTGAACCAAATAGAAAAATGTACATATTTTTAATGTGGTAAAAGGTTTACATGATTTTTCTGATTTTTTGTAATATTTAAATGCTATTTAAAGTAAATTATTAATCATAATTTGACTTGGATTTCATCCTCATTTCTGATGTAGCCATGCAATGTGTTGTTTTTTTTTTTTGGCACTGGGGATCAAACTTGAGACCTTGCGCTTTTGAGGCAGGTGCCGGAACCACTGAGCTAAATCCCTGGCCCATGTGTTATTTTTATATAATACTGTACACTAGATCAGAAACTTTTTTAGCTCATCCCAGCACTGCCACTACATCTACAAGTTGAACTAGTGTATATGAAACTGCTTTGAGAAGCAAGTCTATCACCTTACAGTCTGATTATTAGATGTGGCATTATATTTCACTTAAATTACAAAAAGCACAGAACTGGGGGAAGAAGTCCCTCTACAGTACTTCTCTGAAAGAACTCTACTAAAATACCCAACGAACACACGGGCATCGATTAGCACAGCTAAGACCAGCTCCAGGTTCACCAACAACATACAAGTCTTTAAGGGACACAAGTTGGGCAGTAATGAATTCTCAGCAAGAAACACAAAACGCTCTTACAGCTTCCCGGTGAGCTTTTCAGTGCCCGCTAGAGCAGCTATCTAATTCGCTAACTCATGTTCAGCTTAGAATGCCAGAGAAGCCCAATAAATAAATAAACAAGGAAGCACGGTTCCGGCAGTCTCATCTTTCTCACTGAAGTTCACTCCAATGAAAACAGTAGATGCTTGCTAGCTGAGCTTGCATATAATTCAATGCTTGTCCCATGTCACTAACTTAAAAAAACATAGACTATAAATATTCCGGTTTAAGTTACCAAACCAATAAACAACACATCAAATTCATCTTTACTGGATTCGAAACATTTATGTACAGAGCCACATTTCTCACTAAATGTCTGAACAACTACTCACGTTTCTGCTTTTTCCACCTATAGGGAATCTGGAACCATACTGTACAGAATTTTACTGTACCTATAATTTTACTGCATCTGCTCTGCTATTTATGAATACAAAAAACAATCTGACATTAATGAAGACACTGGCTGGGATGCCTTTACCAGACAATAAATACTGAAATGCCTTTTGAAGCTACTAAAATGTTTATACTTTAGTTAACCCAGTAACAGGTCTCAGCCTCTCTCTGTTCCAGGTTTGTAGAGGACTGCAGGAACACATGGTGCAGAGTTGTCTTTGTTAGAACCGCCACTGCACTGCCTCATCCTTATCACTGTACCCACCTTCACTCGTCCCTCTGTGTCTGTCTTTCGTAGGCTTGTGTCACTGTCACAATTCTCTTGATTTTGCAGAAACCTGACATTCATAAAAACTGCCAGTTAAAGTGACCCTTCTGAGGTTAGGAGGTTCAGGGCAATGATCACAGAATCTCCAGGGCAATTTTATTTTTATGCAACACTGCCATTTTTTTAAGGCTACTGCTTCCCCACAGGGAAGCTTTCTGCCAATTAATTATAGCTGTCCTTACAATTATTTTGAGCCACTAGGGGCCTTGTAATCGCTCAACAAAGTGAGAGATAGATCCAGTCCGGCCATTTAGCACTAAAACGCAATCCAAATGTCCAAGCTACTTCACTTTAACAAGCAAACTAACCAATTTTAATTACCAATCCAGAAACAATTTTATTACCAAATTTAACAATTTCTAATATATAAGAAAACTGAATTCCTGAACACAGCATCTTAACTATATTCCCTTCTTACGGAACTGCATTACAAAACAGAGCTGACATAAGGTTCTGGAACATATACAGACACAAAGAAGAGCTAAAAGGAAAAAGACAAGAAAATCATTAATGCTTACTATAATGAATCAGTCGCAAGTAACATCTACAGCCTAAAAAGATACTATTTAAGAATGTTCTAAACAAAGTTATAATGGAATGCTGAGGAACTGCCGAAAGGAAATGGGAGGCCTGCAGAGAAGCGGGAAGGGCGCTAGGGCTGGAGCCGTGGTCACGAACAGCAGAAGAAACGAGCGATTGAGTAAAGGAACTAGGGTAGTTCCTGAAGAAAATGAAAGACGACTGGTTTTTGCTTTTCCCTGAAAAACTTCATAGAACTATTGGATTCTTTAAACTATACTCACATGAAAAGTCTGATTGAAAAACAAAACCTAGCAATTATAATTTTTAAAATGTTTACTTAACCAATAAAAATCACACCATGTGTGGAAGAAAACCACTTACAGTTCGGGATTCTCACATACACTTGTTTGTAGTTTTAGTCATAATATGCAAACATTTTAATCCCAATTTATGTGACTGCTTTTGGTTACTTCCTTGTAACTAATCACAAGATGTGGGGAAAGACCATAACAATTGTAGCTTTTCAGGTCTGGCTACACATTTTATCCAGATTGTTTTCTGGAAGGCAAGCGTGGCTGTGCTACCTACCAGCAATATGGCCAGAGCACTCGTGCTACCTTTCTAGTCTGTATTTTAAAACTTATCCCCGATGTTGCAGTGTTTCTATCAATATGAGTTTCACAGACACAACTTGGTCATAGTGTCTGCATCTTTCAGTGCTATTGGCTGCCTGTGCAGTGTGATTACAATGTTTTCCCTGTCAATATACATGTTTTCACATTCGTGCAGTGCAACATATGTTTTGCATTTTCTCTGGATTTCTACATTTAAGCTTTTCTCCCCTTAATAGCTTTTTGAAATGAAAGTTAAAATACCATGATCCTAAAAGAACTAAGATCTCTAACATTCATTTCCTTTTTTTAAAAAAAGAAAAACTCACATTGGACTAACCTAACAACCAACATTTTTACAATCATTACTTAACCAGAAAACTTTGTGTTTTAGTCTCAAAAATACTTTGAAGTACTTGTTTATAGGCAAGAATTCACAGGAAAAGCTTTAGCAGCTATTTTATAAATCATACAAAATTATATCTACAGTGAATTTACAGAGCATTTTTTCTTAATCTTTTAGTGACTGGACTTTTAGCATCTTTCTGATTTCCTTCTTAAATTTTTAAAAATTGGCATGATTACTTTCTTGAAAATAAACTTTGAATTCACACCATTTATATTATTTGAATTATAT